AAGGAAGGAAGGGAGGAAGCAAGGGAGGAAAAGGGAGTCCTGAGACAAAGCACAGAAACAGGGATTCCTTTTAGACAGGGTGATCAGGAAAGGCCTCTCTACACAGCTTATATCCAGCTGAGACTACACCAGTCACGTATACATCTGGGAGAAGTGCCCTCCAGGTAGAAGGAATAGCTTTCTTTGCAAAGACCCATCAGTGAGAACAAGCTCAGATGTCTGAGGAACAGAAAGAAAGCCAGTGAGGCTGCAGTCCAGTGAACAATAGTGCAAGGTGATGAAGACAGAGAAATGGCAGAGGCTGGGTCAAGAAGCTCTGATTTTATTCTAGCTGCAATGGAAATCCACGGGAGGTTTTTAAGCATGGAAGAGATATGATCTGATCTAAGTTTTAAAAAGACCACTCTGGCTGTTTGTGGAGAATGGACTACAGAGGGGCAAAAACAGAAGCAGGGAGACAATTAAGGAGGATGTGCTGCTGAAGGATCCTAGGCAAGAGACGATGGCAGCCTGGACTAAGAGGGGAGTGGAGGAGATGTGAAGTGGCTAAATTAGGGTTGAATTACTGATGGATATGGAGATCAAGGAAACTAGACTTTTAGCCACAGCCATTAGGTAGACAGCAGTGCTCTTACCTGACACAAACAAGGAAGAACAGGGAAGAAACAGATTAGATCAGAGAGTTGGGTTTTAGACAGATTAACATTGAGGTGCCTATTAGACACCCAGGTGGAGATGTCAAGTAGAAGCTGGCTGCATGATCTGGAGAGAGATCTGGGCCAGAGACAGTGGCCAGCTGCTGCTGAAAGGCTACACTGGCCACTGGATTTCAAAATTTGGAAACTGTAGCTGACTTTGATAAGCAAATTGAAGGGTATGAAAGCACTTGGAATGTGATAAAGAGAATGACAGGAAGAAAGTGGATATAGTGAATGTAGACAATTCTTTTGAGAAATCTTGTCTTGAAGGGGAATAAAGAAATGGGGGCCATAGCTGGAATAAATTGGGGGAGCACGAGAGACTTTTCTCAAATCGCTGATATGAAGGCATGCCTTGTACTTATGGAAATGATTCAGTGACAAGAAAAACTAATGATGCAGAAAAGTGAAAGGGCTGAGAGAAGATACAAACTAAACCATAAGGGGAGGGGTGGACTTGGAGAGGAGCAAGGATATCTTATTTTTCCCCCTCCAACAGTAGAAAATAAGAGTTTGCAGGTACAGAGGCAAATAAGCACTGGTGGGGAAAGTGAGGTAGCTTGAGTTCAGTTGCTTCTGTTTTCTCAATGGCGTGTACGGCTAAGTCATCGGCCAGGGACGGGTGGGAGCAGGGAGAAGGGAAGTTACAAAATAGTCTTGTGCTGAGCGATGTTGAGTTCTCATTTTGAAATTAATGATAATAAATATAAAGTGGGACCTGTCCCAAGAATGGCTGTAACATGAGTACCTGCTCAAGTCAAGGTCTTAAGGAAGGGCTGGGATGCGACAAATGAATAAGAACTAACCCCGGCCTCAGGGTGGGGGTGCGTAGGCAGTAGACAATCAGTAGTGTTCAGAGGGACCAGCATGTGCAAAGGCTCTGAAAAAGAGGAGCTCTGAAACAGAGGACCCTTGACCCATTCTAGGAACTGAAAGAAGGGCAGTGTGGCCAAAGCACAGAGAGCAAAGCAAGAGCAGCAAAAACAGAGCTACAGGAGAGGGTTATCAGATTGTGCAGGGCCTAGCAGGACTCTGATCCCAAGAAAAGTGGAGGGTCTCTGAAGGGTTTTAGGTAGAGCAGTGACACAACCGCATCTAAATGACTGCTCTGGAAGCCTTGTAGCAAACAGTCAGGAAGGGGGCAAGGATGGCTGCAGAGGACCAGTTAGGAGGCTGCTGCAGTGATTCTGCAGAAATCTGACAGGAACCAGGACTGGAGAGGAAACAACAGGGATGGAGAGAAGGAGATAGATTCAAGAGCTATGTAGGGATGGAGAGAGGGAGATAGATTCAAGAGCTATGTAGGAGGTAGAATGGTTAGGACTTAAGATTTGAGAGATGAAGGAAAGGGGAGAATCAAAGAGGACCCTGGGTTTCTGGAGTCCTGTTGAGAACCCAAAGGTCTAGTCCCTCTATATAACACGGAATCTATCTTCGAGTACTTGCCAAGTCTTCTCCCCTGCAGCCAATACATGCCAAGTCTCTCCAGCTGTTTCTGCTGAGATTTGAGAGGTGAAGGAAAGGGGAGAATCAAAGAGGACCCTGGGTTTCTGGAGTCCTGTTGAGAACCCAAAGGTCTAGTCCCTCTATATAACACCGAATCTATCTTCGAGCACTTGCCAAGTCTTCTCCCCTGCAGCCAATACATGCCAAGTCTCTCCAGCTGTTTCTGCTGACCTCGTAGGCCCCTTGCCAGCCTCATGCTTCAGTGGTACCTTACCTATCCCTTAACCATGCTCACAAGAGCAGAATCAGATTTCTGAGGAGTTAGCCTTTCTACATCTACTATTTGGAGCTCATGACTGCATTAGCCTTTTTAAAAACAAATTCTTAAACAATTATTTCATCCCCAAGGGTTCCCTTTCTAAAATTTTACAACTTTTTAGGTATCAAATATCACACTTAATTTTAGGCTGCAAAGATCAAAAAATTTAGTGGGTAAAATCCTAAACCATGTCCTCCAAGAAGTGATGGCCAAATGAATAGGAAGCACACCAAGACAGGGCTGGGACTCCACACACAGTGAGTGCCATTGGAGAGAGCCAGCCAGCCCATTCTCTACAAGCCAGGCCAGGGCTGTGCTCACCCTTCCACTCTGACTTCAAGGAATGAGTTGCCCTGGTTGGGCAAGACAACCAACTGGGCAAAAGTAATTAGCGGACAAGTTGCTTCCTGTTCCATCCTAGTGGATGGTAAGCTGAATCAGAGTTACTCCTGGGTCCTAGCTACTCTGCTAGCCCCTTAGGCCCTGGGGTGGATGGCTAGAAGGAGGAAGAGCTCAAAGGCTGAGGGGAAGTCTCAGGCCTAAAGTCTATCCAAGCTCTGCATTGGGGTCATCAGATACTGGCTCAGCAAAAGATACAGAGGCATGTATCACTCGCTGGCTAGCTGCTGTTCTTTGCACATGGCATAAATCTTAACTGGGGTAAGTGGGAAAAGACAGGAATAACTGGCAGAGCAAAATTTAAGCAATAATATCAACAAAACCCCACTTGGTACCAACTTGGATCTATACTTCATATCCATTATTTCATTTAATCCTTTCAAGATCCCTATGGGGTAAATAAGTATCATCACCCACCCGCTTATGGATGAAGAAACCAAGATGGGGAGATACGGCATAAGATCTAAATGGTATATGTGGACAGGAGCCTTTCTCTGTCTGACCCTAAAACCCTACTTTTTCCAGTGTACCAAAAATACCACCCTCCTGGAAGAAATTCCTGAGCAGAAAAAATGGTATTTCCCTGACCAATCAGAATCCTGGTATCCCAAGGAGTCTTTTTAAAAGACTCCCCCAGAAAATTCTCCAATGGCTCTACCACTTAGTAGCTAAAGGAATGTGGGTGCTGGTCAGGCCTTCAGTAGTGCCCACAGAGCCGTGACCCCACAGTCAGGATTCAGTGGTGCCCAGTCAAGGACACAGAGACAAGGACCACGGCAGCAGATCTGGACTAGCACAAGAAAGCCTTTCCTAACACTGGAGCTGGCCAGAAATGGCCTGGAACAGGTAACTGAATGGCAGATGTCATAAGCAGTTTTGGCCCATAAAGCGCTTTCTTAAAAAGTGTAATTAGGTCTAAATTTTTAAAAATCAAGAAATTTAGAATACAAATTTGGGGCTTCTCCTGGAAGACTGGAAGGTCAACACCCATGTGCTGGGCTAACAGAAACTGGGGTTAAGAGCTCCTGTCAGCTAGAAAGGAGCACACACGCCCACCACAACCCACCTACTTTCCCTGGTTCACATCAGCCAAGTGCATTCCTGCATGGCCCTTAGAGAGAGAATTGTATCTTTCAACTCTGGTGTAAAGTTTGGGACCTTGACATTTAGGAAACCCTCCATTTCTCAAGCACCAACTCCCTATGATCATAAACCAGAATGGCCACTGCACACATCCCCCAAGAGGACTCATGGTAGAAAAATGTTAGAGATATGTCAGGGATTGGGGAGGGGTTAGCCTAGCTGAGCTCACAAAAACAGAAGGCTACAATCCTTCTTTTAGTTGAAGAAAGAATACTAGTGTTTCTGGCTCTTGCCAAGAGTCATGGGCAGTAGTTACTGACTCTATTTCTCTGTCTATATTGGAAATAACTGAAAACTTTTATTGAACGCATACCACGTGCCAGCCATTTTTCTTAAACATTTTTTTCTTACTCTTCACAGCAATCCTAGAAACTGGTTAGAGAAACTGAGGCTCTGAGAGATGAAGGCGCACCTCCTTCTGGCTCCAAAGCCCAAGCAGCTATTGTGGGTGGACTAGAAAGAATATGATAGAAGGAAAAACTTCTCCTAAAGGATTAATTTTTAAAATATAAGTGTACTGAATGTTTCTCCATTTTTGTTTTAAGGAAAGCAACCTGTAGTATTTCCTCACATAGCAATGACTCCCAGCAGATATAATGAGAAGAGAATTTTAGTTCAAGCGCAACATAAAACAGCACAGGCACAACTACAATGGCACTTTTTAAGCTGTTGTGGAAACTGAAAGAAATTTCAGCAGGGCAGATTCCTCTCGCTGACAGCAAGGCAGCTCTTTCTGGGGCTCCCAGGAATAATTCTCAAGGAAAGCTTTCTTTCTCCTCTTTATAATGGGTTTGCATGAGACTTTGCTGAAGTCCCCTCACAGCCATAGCACGCAGCCTAATTACTTAACTGCATCACTGGCAAGATTCCTTCCAAGCCATTTCAACAGCTCTCTCAGGTAAATTACATAGCACCGTCATCTAAATCTATTTAGCAAAATGAGTTTGTTCTCCCCTCAACCTAGAGACAAAGCAATGCCCGGGCCCCATGTCTACCTGGATTCCAGTAACAACGCGGCCTTCTCATTGAAGAAGGGGGCTAGTAGGTTCACAAGCTCGCCTTCTGGACTCTGGACTCCAGAGCAGCCAGGTTTGCGGGCCCCATCGCAGTCCAAGATATTGGAATCTGTATGCCTTAAATATCCGTTTTTGCAGCCCTCTTTGGAACAGTCCTCCATATTCACAAGCTCGCCTTCTGGACTCTGGACTCCAGAGCAGCCAGGTTTGCGGGCCCCATCGCAGTCCAAAATATTGGAATCTGTATGCCTTAAATATCCGTTTTTGCAGCCCTCTTTGGAACAGTCCTCCATAATCTACAAATAAAAGCATTTGGTCAAATAATGGAATATGGAGGAGGGGGAGGAGGGTGTGTGGAGGAGAGAAAGGATGGAGACAGAGGGTAAACGAGTGAGGGCAAGTAAGGCAGATGCACTGAGCCAGAGAGAGAAAGAGAGAAAATGAAAGGGGGAAGAGAGAGGCATACCGATCCACACACACTCACTTTCAGCAGGGAGATGTTCTGGAAACAGCAAAGACATGTCTGCGTCACTTTCCTTGTCGTCATGTTCCTCCTCTACAAAATGGGGAAACGCTACCTCCGGGGTGTTTAGGAGAATGAAATGAGATGACCCACCCAGACCACGTCTTACTTACCACAGGTACACACTGAATGTGCATTCTCACACCCCACGGCCACTCCCTATAAGTTCTTCCTAAAAACCACGTCATTAACAATGCTTTGGATGTTTATGATACACTTCTTGCAACGTATCCCTTTGTTATGTATCAGAAAACTGATTTGGTCTTTACAGACACATACTAATTAACATGGCTTTGATTTGTCTCATTAGGAAAGTGGAGAGTTCCTAGTTCCCATGGAGATGTTATTTACGGATCCACCTTCTTGGGTCACTGAGAGTCCCGGGGGAGTGGTACCACGGATGCATCTAGTTAAAACCTGTGTTGGGCATGTCTTGAGGTACTGGAATTTGCATTCCTTCTCCCCCCAGTCCAAAGCTGTAAATTTCTTCTACCAGTCTATAAATAACTCCTCTTAACTTCATTACCACTGATGATATACACACTAGCCATCGCCCCCATCTCTCCACACTGGGAAAATGATTAAGATTTTCAAATGAACAATAAGACCCACACAAATGAGCTGTTATTTATGGGGTCTTGTTTGACACCAATCTAGTTATTAAAATTCATCAAATAAGCAACTGCTAAAGTAGGGAAGGTCTAAAATATAATAAAAATAGTAATTATTATCATTTGCTGAGCATTTATTACATGCCTTTCTATTTAAATATCATAACATTCCTAAAAGGAAGTATTATTATCCTCATTGATAAAGAAATTCAGGCTCAGAGGTTAAGACAGGATTAACGAAGTTCACAGAGAAAGTAATGCTAAAGCCAAAACTCAAAATTAAGTCTATCTGATTCCAAAGGCCCCACTTTTAATTACTGTGCTGTCCAAAACTATCTACATTTTAATATCTCCCATTCATGACTTCACGAACTTAAGTACTCCAAAGGCCAAAAAAATGCCAAATGCCAAATCTGTAGCCTCCTATTCCCACCATATCCCAGTTTTTAGGAAGGTTTTTTCAATCTTGGAGACTGTTTGCTCCAAATGTTCAGTATCTATGTAACTGGAAGAGTGTTCTGTGTGGACAGGGGTCGAATTCTCACACTGCCCAGATGACACCAAGCTGGATTCCAGATCAAGAGATGGCAGAGGGCCCCTGAGAAGGGGAGTTCGATTCCATCAGTGTTTTTTTGGTTTTGATTTTGTTTTTAATTTTAACTGACACATTGTAATTACACATACTTATGGGGTACAATTTGATGTTTTGATACATATATATTGTATAATAACTGGGTTAGGGTAGTTAATGTATAAGTCTCCTCATGCATTTATCACTTCTTTACAGCAAAAACATTCAAACCCCGTTCCTCTAGCTATTATGTAATATACAAAACTTAACTGTTAACCAGTCACCCTACTGTGCAATAGAACATCAGAACTTATCCCTCCTATCTAATTGTAATTTTGCACACGTTGACCAACCTCTCTCTCCCTGTTTTCCTTCTTCCCCCATCCCCTCCCCAGTCTCTGGTAACCACTGTTCTACTTTCTGCCTCCATCAGTGGCTCTTCACACTGCAATCAAATGATCTGGGAGTGTGCAGCAGTCCAGACACAAGGCCTCTTATACCAACTGATTCTGTGCCCGGGATAAATCATCTCTCTTTGTAGGCCTCAGTTTCCAATTCATAAAATAAACGGGTGGGATTAGATCTCTGGAGATCTGTCCAGGTCCAGCATCCAAGGCCTGTTATTCTCCTATAACCACTCCATTTGTATTTGCAACTATATGTTTGTTTATACGTTTCATGACTGGTTCTATCACCCAGTTTGTGACTTCTGTGGGGGAAGAGACCTAGTCTCTTTGCTTTCACTGGCACACAGCAAGCACTCGATACAGGCAGAATGAACAGAAAACTCTCTGGATTCATTCCAGAGTGGAAGACTGGCTTAGGCACAGAGTGGGGTGGACGGAATAAGGAGTTCACCACCACGTCCTACCTCATTCCTCTGCTCCAAATGCTGGTCACTCAGGAAGTTATTCTCATCATCCTCTCCAATTCTGATTGTGTCCTCGTCCTGCTTGCTAGCCAGAAGCTACATGGAGCATGGAATGGTGTGAAAATGCAACCCAAACAATTGTGCAGCACGAACATGTATGAATAAGTCAGTGAGGTCTTTTTTTTAAAAAATGCAAAAGAAAAAACAAACAAAAAAGAGGCAGAAACAAATGCCAAAGCCATGAAATAAAAATTAACCAAAGTTAGAGTTGCTAGTTCTGGCAAATCACACACAGCTGCTTGAGATCAATCATAATTTAAGGACGAATTTCCCAGGAAATAACTAAAGGCCTTTCCCCTTGCCCTTGAACGGCCCTTCCTAAGCCACTGTAAATTGAAGATGCTGTCTGTTGTGCCACTGCCATTCCTGCCTTTGCTAAATTCACTTTCAGATCATACAAAAGTAACAAAATTTTGGAAAAAGCTATTGATGGAACTGAAAATATCACATAGCAAGAAAGCAGTAAATGAAATTTACGGCGTGCCCAATTTATGCATCACTTCTACTTAGCACAAGGAATAAACCTCTTGTTGGACTGTCACATTGAAAATATCACATAGCAAGAAAGCAGTAAATGAAATTTACGGCATGCCCAATTTATGCATCACTTCTACTTAGCACAAGGAATAAACCTCTTGTTGGACTGTCACACATCTGAGATGGACAGTCCCAGCAACACTGTAATTTTGCTGACAAAAGTTCCTTATCACTAATGAGAAGAGTATAAAGCTTGCCTGATGATAACTTTATGCTTTGGGAAATGAAGGACAGTTATTTATAAAGAATGCATAAATCCCTAATGCTTTAAAGAGGTGTAAACCCCAAAGTTTCTGCACCCTGCATTCTACAAAATGGAGAGTACAGAGTTCTCAAGAGTCAGATCTCATCTCTCTGGCAAAGGGAAAATTCCAGTCATGGAACACCAGGATTAATCAAAAAAAAAAAAAAAAAAAATGAGAGGAAAGGGAGCCAGGCCTAGGGAGGAAGTCAGTCAAAGCCATTTCAAAATTACACCAAACTTCATCTCACCAAGGAGATAGTTAGCTCTGTGCTGAAGGTGTTAAAACCACAGAGCACTGGGTCACTTGCTGGGCATGCTGTACATATGTAGAACCTATGATTCTATCTCAAGAGTTTCACTTTATGAATTCCTACATTGAGTCAATTATCCCCCTAACTATTCCTGTTCAATTTAATTTCTTCTGATCTTCCCTTTTAGAGGAAAAACCTTGTTTTGGAAGAAGAAAAACAAAATAAAGTAAACCGACTTCAGAAAGTCATTTGACAGAAAATTTTCCCAGGGTCAAAACACATTCAATCTAACCGTATCCAAATGTGCAATCAAGATAAAACAGAACTGCTGATCAAAAAGCAGATCCTGCTATACTATCAAGCATTAAACAGATTAGACATGTATAAATATACTTACTAAGGCATAAAAGTTCACAAATATGGGTGAAGAACCTTCTCCTGTTATTGGCTTCCTCCCTCATTATTAAAACATTCTCAAGTGATACAGACTGACTAGGACTATTAAACTTGTTGATGGACATGAGAAGAGTTTCCCCTAAGTTTAGCAGAGCAAGTATTGTTAACCCATGTCATTCCAAGTTGCAATCAAAAGCATCAAAGTTATTCTGCATTTCTAGATCCACAACCACACCATTACTCAATACAATGAAATAAAAAATTAATCTTCACTTCTCTTTACCTCTGGTGACTTGGTCAAAACTAAAAGTAGACTCTCAATATCCAGCAATGATCAAGAAATTAAATGTTGTGGACAAAGAATAATGTCCCTCATGCCATATGCAACTTACCAGTTTTCAAAGACACAGGACAAGATGTGAGAAAGAACTATGAATCACTCTGCCCAGGCTCTGCTTCCAGCCCGACCACCAACTAGAGGAGTGACCTCCACACCTCCAAGTGTCACCTGTCACTTGGCTCTATCTTCATTTCCTCACTCCTCATCATTCCTCTATCCACAGCAAGCTAGCATCTGTCCCTCTCCCTCTGATAAAATTGCCCAGGTCATGTGACTCACTGGAAAGTCTCAGTTGTTTTTTTTTCTTTCTTTTTAGAGTATTTGACACAATGAAACACTCCCTCCTTAAAACTCCACTCTGCACTCTGCTGCTTTTCCCTCCGCCTCATGGATTATTCTGTTTTGATCTGCTTTGCAGCTGCCCTGCCTGCTCCAGGAAAAACTTCCCTTGACCCCTGTAGGGAGGTCTGTGCACCCGTCTACTGTCTACAAGCTCCCTCACGACTTTGCATCCATCTCGGCCCTTGCCACACTCGCTGCAGATGCACCTCTGCTTCTCTGTTTTACTCCTCAGACAGGATAGGGACCACGTCTGTGTTCATAGTTTTAACATCAATGCCTGATGCTCAACAAAACACTAATGAAAGAACAAACAAGTGAATAAAGATTTTTTCAAAATGAAAGCAGGAACTGATGTTTTTCAGGATTAGTGCTGGTCTTGCTACTCAAAGTGTGGACCTCAGAGCAATAGAAGCATCATCACTCAGAAGCTTGTTATAAATGCAGATTCTCAGGCCCCATGCCAGGCTTCCTGAACCAAAATCTGCATTTTAACAAGATCCCCAGGAAATTCACATGCACTTTAAACTTTAGAAATACTCCCATATAGTGTTGTTAAAACAACTTTGAAAAGAGTCAAAAGAGGGTCACAGTTCTAACTCCGCCACTAATTTAGTACAAAAAAAATTAAAATAGCTATATTTTATTGAGTGCCTAATACAATGCCAGGTACTGTACCAAGGGCTCTGTATATCATGTAATCATAATAACTTATTTAGTCAAATTATTAGAAAGTTCCTCCTACTAATAAAATTAAATCTACTCTGACAAACCAAATTTTATTGTTATTATTAGCAGAATACTTAACAAACACCTTATGCTTCTGACTACCATGTCCGTCCCCTAGAGTCACACAAGGTCTATTTCTTTTTTTTTTTGTCTTTTGTCTTTTTTCCGTGTCCGGCAACGGATCGCAACCCTCAGTGTTGCCCCCGTACCGGACCGGGGACCGGCAACGGGATCGCAAGCCTCGGTGTTGCTCCCCATAATAACTTATTTCGTCAAATTATTAGAAAGTTCCTCCTACTAATAAAATTAAATCTACTCTGACAAACCAAATTTTATTGTTATTATTAGCAGAATACTTAACAAACACCTTATGCTTCTGACTACCATGTCCGTCCCCTAGAGTCACACAAGGTCTATTTCTTGTTCAACATAACAGCCTTACAAATACCTAAGTTTAATTAAACTATGCCCTTTAATCCATGTTTTCTCTCCATGACAAAAAAAAAAAATCTTAGTTTTCTAACCATTACTAATAATGACAATAAAAGTAAATAATAATACAGGTGGAATAGCCCTTATCAGAAATGCTTAGGACCAAAAGTTTTCAGATTTCAGATTTTTTTGGATTTTGGAATATTTGCACTATACTTACTGACTGAGCATCCCTAATCCAAAAATCTGAAATGCTCCAACAAGCATTTCCTTTGAGCGTCACATAGGTGCTCAAAAAGTTTCAGATCATGGAGCATTTCAGATTTCCGATTTTCAGATTAGGAATGCTCAACCTGTAGTAACTAATCCTTTTTCAGCACTTGCAATGTACCAGTACCTGTGCCAAGTGCTTCACACATATCCTATCACTTAGAGATGGTAGTTTCACATGTTACATAGTTCATGGTTTTCAGTGCTCACCACCCTGACTGTACTCTGCTGAAAGCACTCCTCTATGATGACTGTCAACCAAATTCTTCTATAGTACATAATAACTAGCAAATAAATACAAGAAAATAGTGGCAATCTCATTAGAGATTTTTAAAATGCACATTAAAACAACAGGATACGGGCCGGCCCGGTGGCGCACTGGATAGTGCACTGCTTGGGAAGCGCAGCGGCGCTCCCGTCCGAGGGTTCGGATCCCACATACAGACCGGCTCCCGCTCACTGGCTGAGCGAGGCGCGGGAGCAACACCGAGGCTTGCAATCCCATTGCCGGTCCCCGGTCCGGTACGGGGGCAACACTGAGGGTTGCAATCCGTTGCCGGACACGGAAAAAAAACAAAACAAAACAGGATACTTGTTCTTGGCCTTTTGTTTAGTGGTTTCTATGTGAACTGTCAGCATGCAGGGAATAAACACCATCGTGCCCAGCTGGTGGGGTCCCTTGCCAGGACAACTGTTTTGAAAAGAAACTTGACAAACTCTATCAGGGCCTTCAAACTACTTATACCCTTTTTCAAATTAAAAGTTACTGGGGGATGGTACAGGAAAATAAATTTTAAGCCTATTGCATACCTGTATCTGTCCTTAGACCATTCACCAATTTAAATTACATATCTGGGAATATAGTCTAAGGAAAAAAAAAAACCTAAACACAGGAAAAGATTTGTGTCCAAAGCCATTCATTATGTAACTTAAAATGGTGAATCACTAGAAAAAATCTACGTGTCCAACAACAGTGAGGAGGTTAAATTTCAGTGCATTTGTAAGATGGAAGGAAAAAAAAAAACCTAAACACAGGAAAAGATTTGTGTCCAAAGCCATTCATTATGTAACTTAAAATGGTGAATCACTAGAAAAAAATCTACGTGTCCAACAACAGTGAGGAGGTTAAATTTCAGTGCATTTGTAAGATGGAATGAGATGCTACAACATAATGCAACTGGAAAAAACAGGACACAAAACTGTATTACAGAGTAGCTGTGTATACGCACATGTTCATACACAAACACAGAAGGAACAATTCCAAAATGTTAATTAACTGTACCTGCTTTAAAGTGACAGGATTAGAGGTAATTTCTCTGTTTTTCCAATGTTAGGTAGTGCTATGGGTTTATTAAATATTGGAGAAAAAATGCTGAAATTTAAAAAAACACAATATATTTGCTTTTCTTTCTCCCTTTCTGATTTATAGGCTCCTGAGAGCAGGAATCGTGCCCAGCCCCCACTCTGTAAGTCCTGCTGCTCAGAAAATGCTGTGGACAATATAAGCATTTCCGATTGGTTTCTGCCTTGCTTCTGATCAAAGGAGAACCACAGGCACTCCCAGAGAACAGCAGGCTCCCCTCTCTGCCATCCCACCCTCACCCCTAACTCCCTCTGCTCCCTCAGCTCGAAATTATTGTGGACACACCGTCTTTCCCACGTAGATCTTCCCATCCCATTCCGGGGGAAGATGGAGAGCTTGTGCTACTCGTATAAACGACAAGGCTACTCATAGGGAACATCAACTTGAAGTGCAATCTGACAAATGACTCAAATCTGAATCGGCTGGTATTAAGGTCTTAGAGTGGGAAGAGGAAAAGGCTTCTATCTGTTCTCCAAAGGACATAATGGGACATTAACAAATTTTTTTCAAAGGGCAGATGAAGAAACAAAACTCGCCATTTAATACTCAAATGAAGTCAGTGAAAAATGAGCTGCTTATTAAATGCTGCCTTGGAGGAAGGAAACCAGGAGACTTGTTTCTCCCTAAATGGACTGCAGATATTGTTGGTTTTCAAAATTTTCTAAAGCCCTGGAGGCTAATATCGATAACATTCTCTCTCTCAAAGAGAGCAGATGGCCAGGGCACAGCATAAATACCTTTGAGCATTTCCCACTTTGAAGGTAGGAAGTATCGGCTTGAGGCTGACAAATCTTTCCCAAAAACTGATGTGGCAATGAACGTGAGACCTCCATTTACCTGGTGCTCCAGGTTAAGTTCAAGACAACCCCAGCCAAGAAGATTCCAGTGCTGTACTTGAGGGACCCAAGTACAAAAAAGCCCTACTACACTCCATCAAGGGAACAGTCCCAGTCTTCTGAAACCATGCTAATCAACGCACGGAGCAAGATTCTTCCTACGGGAGAGGTTGGACAGGTAGGGGCCAAGGGGAGGAAACAACATGTTCTCCCTCCCATCACAACTTCAGGGTCCTCCCACTGCACAGCACAGGTCACAAACAGAAAATTGGAGACCACACATCATCAAGATCAGCACTGAGACCAGAAGTCATCGAGATCAATAGGGATCCTTCCTCTCTCCATAGCTGGGATATGTGTATGACTGTTTTTCAATGTTACTGGATTCATTAAGGCTCTATCTACACTACCCAAATTATCTGGGTGATCTGGCAACTCCCCAGATCCCTCTGAGACCACATCTCTCATCCAGATGTGCCATCTGCAGCACAGATCCAAGAGCTGACCAGAGTGAAAAGCATCATGACATATCAAATGTATCCATGAAGACATCACCCAATCCTGAAGAAGTCTGTGTATGGACAGACCTGCTGACCTAATAGGGCCCTCAAAACCCTGTCCCAAAAAGAGAATTTCATCTAGAGACCTCCCCAGGACAGATGCGGTCTTGAGAAATTTTGGTAGCTATTATATTTTTGTAATTAGCACATGACAACAAAAATCTTTCTTACCTCTGTTTGTTCTGTTGACTCAAGTCTGCCATCTCCCTGGAAACCCATGCAGGAAAGATCAAAAATGGTTTTCTTCAGGTGCTGGTTGTCTGCATATAGTTCCTTCACTATCTGTATAAGGTCACTAACCTAGGAGGGAGGAGCAGGGAGAGGACTGGTTACCCAGCAGCAGACTTCAGCTTCCTGGAGCCACTCCTAGAACAAAAACCTTCCTATGAGCAGACTCTTCAGCATCACAGTTATGGCGTATCAGAATGTCTGATTCTAGCCTTCAGGCCACCCTGGGTACAGTGACAAAAACACTGGCTTTAACATTTGGCATATTCTAATCCCAGCACCACAACTTCAAGGCAAAGAGATCCTGAGCAAGCTATATAATCTAAGCCTCCATTTCCTCATCTGTGGATTGGGCTATACTGAGAACTGAACACGATCATAGTCACAGTGCACTGAAGTTTGCAACACATTTAAGTGCTCAGTCAATGACAACTAATACTATTTCTATCTTGCATTTGAAACCCTCTGGAGGAAAAGTCCCCCAAGGCTGAAGTTTCTGAGACTGTGTAGGAGCCTTATTTTACAGTACTGACCTTCTTCTCTGTATACCTATCCAGCAATGTCAGTAATAACAGTTGTCAATTATAAACAAATTTATGCCTACTAAAATCCTCCTGACAAGCTTTAGTCAATCATTCCTTGCAAAAATCCTGAGAAAGTCTCCATACCAGCCAGCCACCAAAAAAAAAAAAAAAAGATGGAAAACAAACAAAATTCCTGAGGAAGTGGACAGGCCAGTGTGCCTACCCCCATTCTACAATGAGGAACCAAAGATACAAAGAAGTTCATCACCCAAGGTCCCATAGTTGGGGTATCTG